AAGGCTTTGAATTCAATCCCCAGCACTGCAAAACAAACCAAAAGACAAAAAACAAAAACAAAACCCAAAAGTACACTACATTTTTGTTCAAGTTGGGCATGGTATCACACAGCAGTAATCTCAGCACTCCGGGAGGCTGAAGCAGGAAGATTATAACTTTGACCCAAGTTTGAGCAATTTAGCAACTGAGCAAGATCTTGTCTTAAAAAACAAAACAAAACCAAAACACCCAGCTTGGGATGTAGCACAGTACAAAGGTCCTGGGTTCAGTAACCAGTACCACAAAATAAATAAATCAATGAAATTTACATTAAAAAGGTAAAAATGAGCAAGCAAGTGAGCCCAGCTCTCAGTCTTACTTTGCTAAATTCAATTTCTAATATTGTAGTGCCTCTTTGTTGGAGGGTGGTATTAATACATTCATTGACTTTTACTTGTCTTTTGGAATAAAATGGGACTTTTGGTTTGGAGTTTCTGTGGACTTATTACTCTGTCCCATGTGTTATGTTGATGATTTCAGAATGGTAGCTACAGCGTCTCAGCACACTTTCTGTGTTAGAAAAGAAAGTTTACCCTGAACGTAAAGGCATTTGGGGTCAGGCAGGGGCTTCCTGTGCCTGTAGGCCTGGTGTGACATTCGGGATGTACCTAGGCTGACCCGGAGAGTGCATATCGTCCATTCTCCCCAGGCAACACTAGAAAGTGGGGCAATGCCTCCAACCAAACCTCAGTGGACCACAAGGTGACCAGAGGTGACTTTTAGAAAACCTCTATGAGATGCATGAAGGGCAAAGGTGGGGAAACTGAGGCTCGGAGACTTGGGCACGTAGCCAAGCTGGTAAGACAGCAATCTTGTGGCTTCTCAGGAGTTTTCAGCAATACGGAGTGCTGTCTCTGTGCATGTGTCTGCACAGAGCATTCCTTACTGTTAGTGAAGAAAGGACTAAGGGCCCAAGTGAAGTGCAGCCTTCCTGTGACGTTCCAGGCTTTCTTTGAGCTACTGATACTCTCCTGCTGTGCAGTGCACACCTCATAATAATTTCCTTCCAGAAAGCTCTCTCCACAGATGTGTGGCTTTGCTGTACCAGGGTTTCCCTTTCTTGGTTTCCTGTTTCCTGTTTTAGTTGTCATCTGAAGCATCTTCCACCCGTAGACACGCATTTCATCCTAAAAGGTGGGGGAGGAAGCACACAGTTCAAGGACATGACTGTGGGACAGACCGGAATAGCTCTGCCTGTCAGACCCTGAGGATACGTTTGCAAGGCCGCTGCTGAGTTGTGAGTAATTGGTGTGTGTCTTGCATAAAGACTAGGTTTCTCATTTGAGTTAGTGTAGAATTGTGTCATTGCTGCCTGCTTTATCATACAGGAGTTTCTAGAAAACACAAACAACAATAGCAAAAAACCAAACACTTCTCAAAACACAAGAACCCAAAAGAACATGTTCTCTCTGGAGAAGGGACTGGATAAGGTTGGCAGGGGGCAAGACAGTGACAATGACTCAGAACCATTTGGAAAGGAGCCAATCCAGAGTGCCCCAAAGAACCCTATGCTACCCTAGGAGACACCATCTTGCAGGATCTGGGACATAAATGATGCTGAACTTCTTTGATGACATCGGTAGGAAACTGGCCCCTTTATTTTGTGTTTTACACTTCAATTTCTTTCCAAAGATTGCACACTTAATCTGTTCTCTGCATTATTAAAATCCAGGGGAGGCTAAAGAGTACAGGACCCCACAGGTGACATCACATTCCAAATGACTTGCCACCCAATACAGGATGAGTCCCTTGACCAATGCAGCAGACAGGTAGGTTATGTCGATGAGCAAAGTCCTCAGCGCAGTCTGGTGGGAATTTGTTATGAACTACACAGTAATGTCCAGTCTAGTGGGGGCCCTGGCACCCCCCAAGATGGTTACCACGGAGGGGACCACAGACTGTAGACACGTAGTGGCTGCATTGTTCCAGTGGCCAAGAGAAGCAGCTGAGAATGCTGCTGATTTTGGAAAGATAGTAGTGAACTTGGATTTTCCTAGGACACTGCACAAGCCACACAAACCCCACTTGCACTTGGCATGGGGCTCATGTACAGCTGGTTTGTGTCCTGCCAGTGGGTGCTGGCACTTGCTCAGGAAGCATGTGCTTACTACCTAGCAATAGTACTCATGCACTCTCCAACTGCAAATACTTTGAGAAATTGCCAGAGGGAAGGTCTCATAAAGCTCATTGCTTACTTAGAGCCCTCTGCCCACCTACTCACAGTGAAGGGTGTTCCCTCAGATATCCTAGTCAAGCCAGGAATGTTGGCAAGAAGCACATTTTAGAGAACGCAGTGATAAGACTGCAGGTGTGTGAGCTGCCCACTATGGTTTCAGGGTCTTAAAGGGTCTTTCCCCTTAAGGAAGCCACTGTCCCCTGCATAAGTCAGGTTCAAAGGAAGCTTGAAGGTGCAGCCACCCACAGGTGACATCACACGGCCTGTGACTTGCAGGCCTCACCAAATGCAGTTTGGGAGAGTTGTGGCCACACAGCCAGGCAACAGGGCATTTGTCCAATGTCTTTGGCACATCATCTAAAAGCCTCTGGCTTTCCCAGAGCTCCTTTCCTGTAGCGTGACCAGCAAACAGGACACTAGAGTGATCTAGGCCAGCAGCTTAAGTATTTGTCTGAACTGCACAGTAGGGGTGGGTCTGACGGAGCACTAGTCCAGCCTCCAGATACAACCTTTCTTTCCTAATTGAGATGGGTACTTTCAGACCATTGGGACTGACCTAATAAAGCCATATCCTATGTCAGAAAGAAGGATCTCCTGTAACTGAATACCTTAGATGTGTGAGCAAAGTAGAAGAGCCCCGAGGGTTGTCAATCATCCTGCCTGCCCCAGACTGGCTGCTGCCCTCCCCCACCTGGATACTGGACTCCCCAGCCTGGCCTTCCTGTGCGGGCAGGGCCGAGGCTCTGGGCATGGCGCTGCTTCCACTGGCCTGGCCTGTGGGCAGATTTCTATTGTTATAAATTGGAGGGATCCTCAGATATCCGATAAGTCTTTGTTTCAACATTTCCTGGGGACCTGGAACTATACGTATTAAGCAGGTTGAATAAAAAGAGCCACATCTAAGTTGCAATCCCTTCGATATATATTTTATTCAATTAAGGCACACGATTATTTTATACACCATCAAGAAAGAAAGAAAGAAAATGGCAGTAAACACATAGAGCACCCTGCCCCTCCCCACCGCGTCCCTCGTTTATGAGACTTCTTGAGCCTCAGATGCCAGAATGCAAAAGCAAACCTGGAAACCAGGGCAAGGCTGGATGAGCTGTTCTCCGTCCAGGGGCCGCTGGGCGGCGCAAGGCGCTGGGTCTTCACTGAGCCCTTGGCTTTGGCAGCCTCCGGGTGCAGGAAGAGGAAGTTCATAAGTGCACTGCACGTACACTCACCCACCACCTGAAGAAAGCCCGAGTGAACTTTCTCATTTTCGTCCCAGTCTTGAGGGCTTGCAGAGAATCCATATGCTCACCAAGTGCGCGGGACTCACAAGAAAAGGGGAACCCAGCACGCGTTTCCACGCAGCACAGGATACAAGCAGAAGTGCCGTGTTCACCGGGTGAGCTGCCTGCAAGCGCATCTCTTCTGTACAGTGGTCAAACGCCAGCAACCACCAGTCTGAAACTCCCAAGATCTCTTCTACTTTTATTATTTTAAAATCAGAAAACGATCTTTATAGTACACATTAAGTAATTAAAATATTTTAAAATCGCGTAAGATTTTACCCCACCGGTCCTGGGTGGAAATCCGTGCCCCAGGGAGCCCTGCTACTACCCGAACGCGTTCTGCGGGCTCGATCCTGAATCTCATTAATTCGCATCTTGGGTGCAAGGGGTGTCCCAGGCCAAATCCTTCGGAGGACGGGTGAAACTGGGTATGGGAGTGGGTGGGCTGGGGCAATCCGGATCTGTACGGCCCACCTGTAGATGGCGCCCAGGAAAAGGGATTCTCGAACTGCGTTCCCCAAGCTCCGGCAGTTGGAGCTGGAGCGGCGGTGTTCCGGTCTAACAGCCCCCAGTTCATTGCAACTCGCGGGGCTGTTCCGCATGCGTGCGAGAAACGCGTGAACTGAATCACAAGCAGACGGGCCGGGCCAGGGGACGCGCGCACCCAGGGTCAGGGATGGCACGCGGCCCGGTTCCCCACGCGCCAGGCAACCCGGCGACCCCCACGCGCGGCGGGGCCCTGCTCACCTCCTCCAGCGGCAGGTGGACAGTGTTGCTAGGCAGAGAAAGCCTCGATTGTCTACCCTGCAAACTGCCACACGCCAGACCTCCGCTATTGTGCTTCCCCATAGAAATGCAAACGAGCCGCGTGCCCCGGTCGCAATCTGCTTGTCCTCACCCACCCGCCCCCGGTGCCCGGCCGCCCCTCCCCAGGAGGGTGGTGGATGGGTTCGGACCTTCCTGCGCCCACCGTGCTGGGCTCAAGTCTGCGGTCGGGCGGCGAGGGCTGGCGGCAGTGCTGTGCCGATTGGCCTCCGAAAGCCCCAAAATACAGTTGCGTGCTTTTACTTTAATTTTCTGTTTCAAGGCAACAGCCCCATAAACTCCAAATTAAAAGGAAAAGAAAAATAGTAAAATAGTAATAAAAATGAATGCAAAGCGAGATTCTTTTACAGTCTACAAGTGTACATTTCACAAATTGCAGCCTATTAGCAAGCAAAGAGGGTTTTTTTTAAAATTTCCTTTTAAGGACTTAAAAAGAAAGGCGATATGAAATCTGCAGGCTCCAGTCTGCCTGGTAACACCCCGACAAAAGCGGCAGATTTGAGGTATTGTCACCTCCCCGCCCCCGCCCCGGCGCACCCCTCCCCACGTGGCCTTCTGGCACGAGCAGTCTGCCTGCCGCCTCATTTGCATCAGAAAGCGGGCGCCGGCCAATGGGCGCCCAGCCTCTCGCCAGCTGGCGGCGTCGGGAGAGCCGGCCTATATAAGGACGGCGCGTCAGTCGCTGGCTCACTAGCTGGTGGTGGGCGCGCCGAGCTGGAAGGTAGCAGTCGCGTCTGCTCTCGAGTTCCTTTCGCGCTCGTGGCATTTGGATAACTTGCTGCTTATCAAACACATCATGACTCTGGAAGAAGTCCGCGGCCAGGACACAGTTCCGGAAAGCACAACAAGGTGGGTATCGGGGTGCTGAGACCTTCGGATCGTAAGGGATATAAGCCTGCGGCGTGCCAGCCGACCACAGGGTGCCGGGGGAGTGTAGGAGTCTTGCCAGGGCTGGGCATCCAGGGGTGTACTCCTGCTGCCGCACTGTACGGGTTCCAGCCCTCGATCGGGACGGGGGAGCTAGAGGCAGGGGTGCGGGCTGCGGGCCGGGTCGGGAGTCAGGGTGCGGGTCTAGGTGCTGGCAAGAGAGCAGGCTGGAACTTGGGATCCGGGGCTTGGGCGTCACAGCTCACGGCGCCGTTTTTCACAGAATGCAGGGCGCCGGGAAAGCGTTGCACGAGCTGCTACTATCGGCTCAGCGCCAGGGCTGCCTCACCGCTGGCGTCTACGAGTCCGCCAAAGTCCTGAATGTGTGAGTATAGACGCGGCTTGGGCTGGGCGAGGTGACTCGGGCTGGGAGATGGAGTGGGGGTGGGGAGGAGTTGGAGGCCGCGCGGAGAAGACCGGGACGCACAGACCCTGACCTTGTGGTTCTTATCTGCCGCGCAGAGACCCTGACAACGTGACCTTCTGCGTGCTGGCCGCAGACGAGGAGGACGAGGGCGATATCGCGCTGCAAATCCACTTCACGTTGATCCAGGCGTTCTGCTGCGAGAACGACATCGACATCGTGCGCGTGGGCGACGTGCAGAGGCTGGCGGCGATCGTGAGCGCCGGCGACGAAGGGGGCGCGCCGGGCGACCTGCACTGCATCCTCATTTCGGTGAGTGCCGCCTCCGCCCCCACCGCGGTGTCTACCCCGCGCCCCGTCTTGGCCCGAGGCCATCCCGGCTCACCCAGTGCTGTGCTCTCCCGGCAGAACCCCAATGAGGACGCGTGGAAGGACCCAGCCTTGGAGAAGCTTAGTCTGTTCTGCGAGGAGAGCCGCAGCGTCAACGACTGGGTACCCAGCATCACCCTTCCCGAGTGACCGCCCGGCAGGGGCCTTGGTCTGATCGACGACGGGGTAATACCCCGGGGCGCCTAGCGCGCTGCTGGCTCTGGAGGGGCCCTCCGAGGACACCCGAGTGCGACGTGGAGACTGGCAGGTGGAGGCCTGGAGAGCGAGGAGCAAGCCTCCCCAGGAGGGGCCTGGCCAAGGCAGGGCAGACTGGCCCAAGCCGAGGACTCTGCGAGTGTCTGGAGCGGCTGCTCGCTCAAGAAGGAGGTGGGGACTTTGGCCACAGTGCTGGGAAGGACAGACTGGCTGGGTAGGCATGACTTAGCACCTGCGCTCCTCCTGAGGCTGGAAAGGCCGGCCAGGCGATCTGGATTTGGTGCAGCCGCAGGAGCCTGACGGACTTCATAGGCTGCTCTGCTTTTTCAAAAGGGATCTGGGCAATGTTTCCTTTTCTAAAGAATACTGCCATTGAAGCTTTGAATTTTACAATAAACTTGTTGAAACAAACTTACGCTTTTTATTGTGGGTTAGGGGATCCTTGTCTCAGGGAGGTGGTGGCAGATGTTTCAGATGATTGCTGGAACTCAGTGGAGTTGGTGGCACCTGTTCCCGTCTTCCTGTTGGGCCAGAATTGCAGGCTCCTTGGGCTGGTAGTGGGGGAGGGGATGGTGTCTGTGCAGCACTAGGGCAGAACTTGAGCCTGACTTCGTTGCTCTCCTTTGAGGAAGATTTTAAAGGGTATACTTGAGATAAGGTGTCCTCGAACGGCAGCTCGATGCAATCCTATCTGATGACGGTGACCTCTGCCTCTGTACCTCCCCTCCCCCTCCGGCCCCGCCCCCCCCCACAGCTGCTTATCTGAACAGCTTGCTGGAGGCCGCCAGAGCCTACACAATGAGGGCTGCCTTCTGCAGCCCTGCCCTTTGTGGTCCCTGAGGATGGGGGCAGGCGGCCGCTCGCAGGGACTTTCTCCCCTTAATTGCTCTGACAAAGAATCTGAACAGTGCTGGAGGCCGCCAGAGCCTACACAATGAGGGCTGCCTTCTGCAGCCCTGCCCTTTGTGGTCCCTGAGGATGGGGGCAGGCGGCCGCTCGCAGGGACTTTCTCCCCTTAATTGCTCTGACAAAGCAGCGTTACAAAGGTATTAATACCAACTATGACACCCAGACTGCGTTCAAGTGTGAGTCATCATTTTGTCATGGCTATGATAGAGCTTACAAGATCTGAGCAAAAATTGGAAGGCAGCATCTATATAAATAGGTGTGAGCAATTCTGAGTGGGGCTGGCATCTGCCATCTCCTATTTTGAGTGTCCTCTGCCCACATCAGAGTTAAAGAGGACTTTCTGCTATTCACAATTCCTTCTAAAGACTTAGGGGGGGAAAACAAGACAAAGCTGTATTTAGGCACGATCTAGGGGAAAATGCCCTGCATGCATCAGTCTTTTTTATTAGGGCAGAATGTGTTGGTTTCACTCCCTGTGCCTGGCTCTTAAGTAGCTGCTTTCTGGCAGGGGAAGTGCACGTGGGGCTTGCATGCTGACAGCCCCGCTGCCGGGCAGCCAGAGAGCCTTCGGGAAAGGTGGGGCGGAGCACTGTTTTTCTAGGAAGGACATTCTGCTGATTTATCAGCTGTCCTTGGAGCAGCCGCTTTGCCTGGTTGAATGCCACTTTAAAAATTCTCTCCAAATTGTCGAATCATTTGCAAGACAACAGGAAAACCATAGGAGCTTAATTACTCTGCCAATAAAGAAAGCATCCTGTTTCCCATTTATTAGGTCTTAAAAACATTTACTCCTCCACCAGGCAGAAGCCCAGTGAAATAATTCAGCTGTGTTTGTACCCAACTTTATTTACTCTTTAACCTCTTTGCTGCCACGAACCTTGAGTTTTCCGTATTGGAGTCCTGTGGGGGTGCCTTCTGGCAAAAGGATCATTTGCCATAACATGCTGTAATAAAACACAGAGGGCATAATTACTTTAAAATATACCCTTAAATGAGCAAATTCGCAGAACACTGAACAAAGCAGGCTGCCAGACCCTCCTCCCTTTCAGGCAGTGACACTTGGATAACATTGAGTTGGCAGCCCATAAGAAACTTGGCTTCCTCAGGTTGCAGCTTACTGCGAAGCCACCTGTTAGAGCTCTAGGAGCTTGGAGAATCTGCAGAGGGCAGAAGATGTTTGTCTGTCTCTGTCTCTCTCTGTCTCTCCCCTTCCTTTCCATCCCTCTTGCCTTTTCTTCTTGAATGTATATCAACATATTTAAATGAAGTAACCAAGAAAGCAGCTAATACAATGCAAGTTTATAAACACATCCTTGCGTTGAATACCTCCAATCACCCTGTGTAATAATGCATACGTGAGCCACTGTACATGCTAATAATGATCATGTGCAGGTTGAGGTGACCTCTGCAGTCTGTTGAATATGATGCCCTGCCTCTAGAAAGTGATGCGTAGATGTTAATGACTGATGATAACACTTCAAAGCTAATGGAAATGTTTGCCCAACACCACAGAGCACCATATGAATTAGGGGATTGGGGACTGGGCAGTCTGGATCCAGAGTCCACTTGTGCCTTCTGGTTGGGGATCCAGATACTGGAGTGCTGGTAGGCTGGCAGGCTGAATTAGGAAGGAAGGCTACGTTTGTGAGAACGCTTTTTTGCATTGATAAAAGTTACATGTATTCACTGTAGAAAAATTGCAAAATAGTGAAAGAACCGATAACTAACGCAGCATGGCCCCATTTGGGTATAGTTTCTTCTGACCTTTTGTTTTCCCTCTGGGGTTTGATAAACTATGTAAGATCACAAACACACATGACATGTTTAGGAAGCTGTCTTTGGCTCACCCCGTGCTGGTTTTAGTCTCTCTTTTTATTCCTATGCTATAGCAGTGCGTGTGTAATGGACAGCCTCGTGCATGCTGACACATGAGTGAAAAATGCACATTTTAATCTGTGGTCTGCTTTGGGAGTCCTCTCCTTGGAGTCCTCACCAAACAAGGTGGACCTCCTGTGTATAGCAGACCTGTTACACACCGGGGCAATGAAAGTCAGGCTCACTGATTTTTTATTTTTAAAAACGGCTTTGCTCAAGATCACTGCTACACAAATTTGCACTGGCAAATCACTTGTCTTAAACATGAAACAACAGTGGGAGCTGCCGGGAGGAGGGCCGTGGGCAACTTTTGTCCACGCTTCCTGGTTCGACCCAAGTAGCTGTTAAAACAACAGGACAAAGTAATTTTTGAGCTTGTTTTTAAACAGCCTAATGCTCTGTGTTATATATTCTGTGGAACATTCACCTCGATAGCACAATGTGTATTGCTCTGGAGGTGTACAAAGAGCCACTTGAGAAAAAGCGACAAATTAATTTTTCAGAGGATGTTGGCAGCACAGCAAGGCTCCTGAGGTCAGCTCCATGAGCAATGTGCATTTTCACTGTTTTCAGGATTCTTGCCCTTTTCAATTGGTTTTTGCAATATATTGGCCCCCCGACTCTGTATTTGGGCATGTCACCCAAAGGATCAGAAGGAAGTTGTCCTTCCTTGACTTCTCTTAACAAGTCTGAGGCTTCCAGGAAAATGCCTGGTGAAGGCTGAAGGCTGTCTGAGTGCCGGGAGGAGGTGACTGTACCTGGGAGCAGGTGACTTCCAGCCCACTGAGGTTACAGAGATCACCCTCCCTCTCTCTCTCCCTCTCTTTCCAAAGCCAGAGCCTTGTACGTGCTAAGCAAGAGCTTCTGAGGCTGTGAGATTCAGCCTTAGGGAGGATGGGCTGTACCCCTTCATAATTCTAGCCTGCGTTCATTCAACTGTGATTAGTCCAGTTGGTATTTCTTGAGAGCATGGGTGCAGTACTGGGCATGGACTCACAAACAGTCCTTTCCTGCCTGGAAGGTCTGGACTGTGCTGTGGGCAGGGCCCGGGGGCCCAGATCCTCCGACCCCTCTGTCAACTACTTATCCAGCCTTGGAAAAACACGATGACAAAGTGAGAAATGTGAGTGCTATGAATATCATTTTGCCACACTAATTTTTCATGTTGTGAGATCCCTACAGCCCACCTAGAAGAGATATCACCATTTAGGTTCCAATCATTTTGCTGCCACAAATAACATCTCCCATTTCCTTCTCCAACTGATTTCTCTTCAGTGCAGCCTTTGCCCTAATTTGATGATGTGCACTCCTAGGAAGACTTACTGTGACTTCCCATGCATACTTGACCATACCCCCTCTCTTCCACATCCCCCAACCTTATTATTTTCTTCCCTCCCCTAAAGCCCCCTTCCTCCCTCCTGCTTCTCCATCTCTGTCTCCTTCCTGCTTCTCCCTCACTTCCTGTGGTGGGTAGGGTAGGGTGCCAACCTGATAGGCTTTCGGATCCTTCTGGGGATCGGTGAAACACACTCCTCCATATATCTGAGTGGATCATGCAGGTGTGACTGTAAGGTCTATATCTGGTCCTTGGCCCTTTCCTCTCTGGCATTGTTTCCCGGCTCTACTTCTTGGCTGTCACAAATTAAGCAACTTTGTTCCTCACCAGCCTTCTGCCACGATGTTTCTGGCTTGCAGGCAGCTGACCATGGACTGAATCCTGTTGAAACCATGAGCCAAATTAAACCTCTCCTCCTTTAAATCACAAGTATCAAGTACTGTGCCCCACAATGGGAAAGCTGACTAATACACAGCACTTCTTCTCCCATTCTGTTTCTGCTTCCCTCTGCCTTTCCTACCCCTCCTCCTCTTCGCAAGTAGAGGCCTGCTCTGGGCCAGGCCTTGGGCACTCACACAAGGAAGAAAATGCCTGTATTTCTGCATGTTTTTCCCAGGAGCTTGGCCTGGCATTGGGCCTTTCTCTGAGGGAGACTGACCAGCCTGCTCCCTCCCCAGCTCCCTCATCTGCATCAGATGGGGCCCCTACTCCCACGTGGAGGTCCAGCCCAGCAATACCTCAGTCTGACTGACAAAGGGTCCAAGGAGAAGAGCCATGCCCGACCTCCCTGGCCCCATTCCTCCATCCCTGCTTTCTGCACCTGGAGGGCAGAATCCTGCCTTTGAGGTGGTTCTGAGCTCTGTGGCAATGCACAGTGGAACTGCAATGTCCCAGCCTGGGGCACACATGGCTCTAGGCCCCCAAACATGTCCTGGCATACTCGCTCTTAGAATGCTTTGTGCTTTGAGCTGGCTTTTACTTCTGACCCTGATCCCTTTCCTTGGCTCCCAGCCCTTCATTTTTACCTGCTAGGGCCACGTGGAACTGTTCCCTGCTCCACACACTTTTGGGGGACATCTGGTGTGGGCCATCCAGCAGCATAAAGGTTCTTGATGTGCTGTGTAGGGCTGGACTCAGCCTGTGGCTTTGTTTTGCACCTTGATCTGGGCGTCTGTGGGGAGAACACACCAGCTTATTTTCCCATCTTCCTGCTTTCTCCTAACTCCCTTGGCACCTGAGTCATCTGGGTTAAACGGGCCTAGAGTGGGCTGCCTCCATTCCTGGGGCAGGT